CTCTCTCTCTCTCTCTCTCTCTCTCTCTCTCTCCTCCTCCTCCTCCTCCTCCTCCTCCTCCCTCCTCCTCCTCCTCCCTCCCTCCCTTCCTCCTCCTCCTCTCTCTCCCTCCTCTCTCTCTCTCTCTCTCTCTCTCTCTCTCTCTCTCTCTCTCGTGGGTTACTTCATTAACCTCGGCCAACGATATTGCACTCTTTATCTCTGTGCGATGTGCTCTCTTTGGTTCTAAAAGTATTTCTGGATAATTGAATATTATGTTTGTTGAGTGAATTTTAGAAAAGAATTCTAGAATTTCTGGGCAGGTTTGTAATAATAAATTTTTATCATTATTATTTCTTTTTTGTTAAGCCAATTTTTGGAAATATTAGATTTGATTCTAAAATCCTTAGGAATTTTTGTTTTCGTTATTGTTTTTTAAAATCAAAAATTGGAAAATAATAAATATGTGTCGAATGGAATAATCAAATGATTCGTCATCAATGGTCACATTGTTAAAGAAACACTTCGAGTTTGTTTAAAAATAAGACATATTAGAAAAATAATGGATATTCTAGAAACCAATTGCAACTTTAAAACTGTTTGTAAATTGTATAAAATTTTAAAATATCAATAATCATAAATTTGATTAATTTTCACTATTTTCACGCTAATCTAGAAAAATAAAGTTACAAAATTTAAAAAAAAAAGATGTAATGTAGCAAAAAATTGATATAAAACAAGTAAGATATTTCTATATATTTAAAAAAAGTAAGAAAAAAATGGTAGATAAAACGTTTCAGCTAAAAAAGAGCAGCAAATGTTCTTCACATGTATTTTTTAAAATTACCCAAGTGATCAGTTTGATTAAATACACAATTGATGATATATTAATCTGTGTCAAAAGATAGGATGAGAAGACGATTGGAATAGTAACTATGTCGAGACGTAATCGAAGGTTGAAAATGATATGGCAGAAATGAATACGCGTAGATCCTGTTAACAAGGCCTTCGACATTCTCTGCTTTTTTCTTATGGGCCCGGTGAAACTTGTCGCAGTTCCTTCTTGAAGCTGAGCCGGACCTCATTTAGATAAGTTTTCCTTCTTCCAGGCCTTCGTTTCGATCGAAATTTTATTCGTTGATTGACTCATTCGCCGTTCATATTCAGTCCCTTAAGACCGGCATTCTGGACATTGATTGTATTTATGTTTATTCATATTGGGTTATAGGTTATTTGTGTCACGCTTGTTACATATTTATCGTCTGCCTGTGATAAACAATGAATCTAGTTTTAATAAATGTAAATTCGTTTACCATTTATGAATAGATAATTTTAAAATGTTTAATTGTTATTATATCCAGTGTTATACGTTGTTGTAAATAAAATGTATACATCATATCAAATATCTCGCGTATTATTTGTGCAAAGTGTTGCAAATTGAGGTTTCCTCTACTTTTTTTCATTTGTTAAAAAATCCTTTTAATGAAGTTGATAATTATTGATAATCAATCAAGAAACCTATTTAAGTAGCTATAAGAAGCTATTGTATATCACTGTAGAATATTAGAGGTTGATACAAGCAAAAATATAAGTTATAAGATTTATTTATTAAATTATAAACAATTGAAGTTTCCATTAGACAAGAGTGTGATGAAGACGTCATCATTTCATTGCCTATAACTTAATAAATAGAATAAAGCCTCGACCAATGTTTGTATTTATTTTGACCTTTAGAATCAATGTTCCACTCTATATTGTAATATTAATTATCATTTAACAATACTTCAATTCAAACTGTTACAAAAATAAAATAATATCTGAAAAAAAAGAAAAACGCTTAATTAAAAAATAAAGTTATATACAATACTCTTTATTCCTTACTAATATGATAGGAGTTTTAAAATATAATAAAATATAATGAATTTCTTCAACTGAACTAACAACATTTCCATGCCATTGGACGAGTGTATACCTTAGTGTATAGAGGGTGAGTTCATCGGATGTATACATGTATCAAAACAGAGGAATTATTGACCTCGTGTTGCGTTAAGAAATCGAGTGAAATGCACATAACCTATAGCCAAAATATCTTCACGATGTCCCTTCCTTTCTTCATGGTGTATCTCGTAAGGCTTCCATTGTCCTCTTCGTAACTGACCATTTTGCGTTTCAGTGTTCCTTATGTCGTGGAGTACCGCTTGTTACGAGGTGAATAATGGTCACGTGTCGGTGGTAAATTAAATTTGTCGATAAATCATGCAGATAAGGAAAAGTACGCTCAAGGAATGGCAAAACGTTCGTTTGTTCGGTGCTCGGTTATTGTGTTATTTCTTAAATGCTGAATCAAAAATGTAAATAACGGTAGTCATGATGAATAAGTATGAGTAGATCGTGGCTGAATTTCGGTGAAAACTTTTTGGATTGGATACTCACTGTAAGTAGTTGTCCAAATTGTGTTATTATAATAGAAATGGTAAATATATGTGTTTCATTATTTCATTCAATATAAATTATTATTGTTGTTAAAGTATTATGAAAAACCTAAAATGTTATTGTGAGATACGTTAGATTAGATTGTGTAGGTTTATATGATTCAGAATACGTACGTACCTTGAAAAGCCTTCAAATTCGATTGTAAAATTAAGTTATCTCTTCTAACATAAGAGTGGCATTGCAAAATTTATACAAATCACAAAGGGGTCATAAAATATTGAACCATGACCGTATTCTATTTTTGTCGACCTTCGTACCGACTATAAAGCGGAAGTTTTATCTTTGAAATTATTCCCATTCTGAAATTTCCGCTCTCTATCACCGACAACCTCATAAAACACATTTTCGATATTTCATAAGTGTACGATTAGATTAATTTAATGGTTCTCAATTTGTGGATCTCGATCCAAAAAAGTTGTTATTTTTAACATTTCACCTAGAATATCAAGATTATATATTCAATAACTATTATAAAGGCTATTAATCGCACGCTAGTTTGTTAAGTATTTCTTATCTTACACAAGAGAGAGAGAGAGAGAGAGAAAGAAAGGAAAAAAACATTAGAAAACAATAAATTAATTACTTAATTCTCGAGCCAGGATTGATAATTCACTCGAAGAAAAAGCGCTCGAACCGTGGAACAGGTGTTAGTCGGTTAGCACGTGTTCTCCTGCGAGCACGTTGACGCGCAGGTTTTCGAGATTGAAGAGAGAAAGAAGAGAAAAGAGGGAGAGAGGGAGAACCGTGGTGTTCCAGAGCAGTGATTCCGGTCAGCCGGAATAGCGGTACTCGGTCGGCCGTACATCTTCTCGTTCTCCAATTATTACGCCGGTTTCCGCGGCGCGCGCATCTTGCGCTTTGTCGCGAAAGCGGAAGAAACCTGCGCGCGCAGGATACGTTTCGATAAAATCGTTTCAGTTTTTACTTCTCTACCGCCATCTCTCGTTGTTTCTCTCGTTACCACCGTTACCATTATCGCATATCCCTGTGTAATTTAGTGGAGCTCGTTGCTGGTTTTTTTTTTTCCTCTCTTTCTCGTCTCGAGGAAGAAGGAGAAATTGGTAGAGGAATCTTTACGCTCAAGATCGTACATATGTTTATTCCTGCTCGTGAAATTCGAGATATTGATCTCGGTCTGGAATTTTCTGTTCTTCCCAAGAATTTTTACACCGTTCCTGAAAGTAGTAACGAGGAAGGAGTGTTAAAACGTGTTTGTATAGTGTAAACATATATTGGGTGCAATTGGAAACGAGTGAAAGGGCAATTTGGGAAATGGGGCAATGAAAAATGTAAAAATGTTTTGATCGTGTAATTGGTGAGTGAGTTTCATATATTCGAATTTCGTGTGGCTCGATAATTTTAATACGTGTTATCATATTTTTGTAACGATTATGATTATTTATATGTCGTATGAGAGAATGAATTAAAGAAGAATTTCTCATCTCTTTATATTTGTAATATGAATAAAAATTATAGAAATTAAAGAAAACAATATGAAAATGAAAAATAAAATTATAGAAATTCATATGAAATGATTATATAAATTATTGTTTAAAGATTTGAAATTATTCTCTTTATAAAAAAAAAAAAAAAAGGCATAAGAATTTTTAACCATTTTGTCCGGTTTTTCAATCATGCTTCATTTAACATGAAGTCGTAAAAACTATTAACGTTACGCTTTGGCGAAACATACGAAATAACTATCTTTATCGAATGTGCGTAAAAATTTCAAATTAAAACGTTAAAAATATAATTGAAGATGATTTTTACATATTATCGATTATATTGTTTCCTTGTAAATTATTTTTATTTACATTAGTAATCGATGCAATATTTTTAATTTGTTCTAATTATTATTATTATCATAATGATGCTTACGATACTTTCTATAAATATTTATATCAAGTATTAATATATTATTCGAATAAATTTCATTTTAGAAATTTCATGTAATAAGACAAATTAAAGAAACTAAAGATATAATAGTTATGTGTATTAAATATAGTTATTCACAAAAATCTTCGTTCTACACTTTATAAGAACATCATTACATGTATTATTTTATATCATATTCTTATTAAACGTACTAATTTTGCGGTAAAATTTTATATTATTTTTATAAAGCGTGTCTTCTTTAATTGCATAATAATTAAAATACATTTTCTTCTTTTCAATCAACAAATACAATTCACACGTACCTCACCGAGTCATTCGCCAACAACACATTCGAAACTCGCGCGTCAAACAAAGCACCCGAAATATATACACGTTCGTAGTATTTACGTTCGTTTAAATCCAAGAAGCGAGAGACAAAAACAGATTAAAACAAAATAGAAGAAAAGAGAGAAAAAAAAAATGAAATGTGAATCTTCTGGAAGCTCAACGACGCGCGGCGGCGCGACGTTACTGTTGCATCGTTTATGAATGCGATTCCTGAGAAGCGTGTAGCGGCGCTGCAGCTGCGCCGGATAGTTGGTAAGGCATGTGCGCCGAGTAACGGCTAATTGGCCACCTTTCCTCTCCGAGAGCGGAGAGGCCCGGTCTCTCTTTCTCGTGGCCCGACTCTCGTGCCAGTTTTGTTCGTTCTGTCGTGCGGTTTGTATCGAGAGAGTCGAGTGAGGATCCAGTACCACAGACCGAAGAACCATGGAGCGTTGTTCGCGCGCTTCGAAACGAGGACGTTTCCTTTGATACCCGCGTGACTGTCGCGTCCTTTTTTCACGTCGTTCGTATTTCACGATTTTCTTCGTAATCCACCACGGTGTGTTCTCGTGTGTCAAGATTCAAAGATCGTACAAATTCGTTAATCACAAAGAGAGCACGTTATTTTGACTTCTCTCGTTACGAAAGGATCGTTGCTTCTGTTTCGTAGGACGTGTACAAGACGCTTGAAGTTTGCGGTGAGTTTACATACTTTTTCTTTTTAAGTTGGGTTTGCACGAGGGTTCGCGATTGGACGAGGGAGATACGATAGGAATGTTGGTATTGGAGGGACGAGTTTTAGAGGTTCTGTTGCGGTTCGATGACTTAAACTGAGAAGTGAATCGGAAGTAATTCGATGCTTTCGAAGTGAAATATATTTTAGAATGCTTTGTTCAATTTCTTATTGACAGGGCTGTTTGTTATTTGATGAGAAATTGATACGAAATAAGTCAAAATGTAATTTTCGGACGGTGTTCGGATTTGTCTCGAATATATTGTTAGAATGTTTTATTGATAGAGAATATCGGCGATTTTGAATTTGGAAAAACGGATTTTAGATTTTTGCATGTGATAATTCAAATGTAGAAAGACGATATTTTTAAATAAAAAGAAGACTAATTACGTTAATTAAGGTAATTTAATAAAAAAATTTATTTATGAATTATTTATGTATCACGTGAAAAGAAATTTTTTTATTTCTAAAATAAAATTGGAGAAAATTATATAAGTTTTATTCTAGAATAACTTTTTAATAAATGTTTTCAATAATATAATATAGGTATTATTATAATGAAATTGTCATTAATGAATTATGTCACAAGAAATATTATAATAAATGATAAAAATTTACACGAATTATGCCCAATTAATACAGTTATAAAATCTGAAAACGAACGGTGCAAGAATTAAATACGAGTTTGATAAAATGTTTCTCATTTTCTCGTTATTAATGTTTGCTGATTTTTTTTTGTTGCAATGAAATGCGGGAATCACGAGACTTTGATTTACGTAACTTAATCATTATTTTTTTGCTACCGCATTTATAACTTTTCCGTTTTATCCATCCATTCCGTTTTCATGATTCTTAGCTTGTTAACTTATACATAAAAAAAAAAAGACAGCAATTCCACTAAAAGAAAATGCAATATGCATATGCAAATAAATTCGACAAAAAAGAAAATGATTTTTTTTTAATAAATATCGCGCAAAACAGGATAAATTATAACCTATTTCCAAACTACTTTAAATTACTTTACCCATATACTTTGCATATATAGTTATAACACTCTTTCAAAAGACTTGCAATTAACGCGAATAAACCCATTAATTAAATTCGCCGTTCTGCATGCAGGTTTCATTCAAGTTTCGATTCGTTTTGGATGTTTAAGTGCTTATCTTTCCAAAAATGGCGTTTTCATTTACCACGTTTGCAATATCGAAATGATTTACGATTGACGAGTTTTACTTTTTTCTCTGTCGAGTGCATCGAAGCTTAACAATGTCAATCGCCCCTTTCCAATCGACGATTCGCAATTTCACCTTTTCATTGGCTATTTGCGGTCATCGTATCGTCTTGTGCTCATACCCGGATTAAACTAACCTCTTAAAACTTTTGGACACACAAGTTCCTTCCACTCGCGTCATAAAAAGATATTTTTCCGTCTCCTCTTTTATGATCGTCCTATAAATCTTCGTGGATAATCACATTTTTCGACCTTCCAATTCGAACAATTTCGATTTATGACCCCGGCTTTTCTTTAAATGCCTTAGTCAAAAATTTTGGAGAAAATTAATCTCGAATATTGTTTATGCTTAGATATCTTTCAAATCCCTCTTATATCAATTCTGCATTGCTCGTAATCCTAAAAATTATCGCCCAATCCTTTTCTCCATCCGGATGCAACGCTGTCCTGTCTACGATCGGATCTAAAGAAGAACGTAGTTGATTCTAACTAGCCCCGTCATTGATTAGACGAGGGAGAAATTCTTTAGGCTTAATTGCCCGCGGAACAGAAGATTCTGAGCGCGCGTTAACGACGAGGTTAACGAGGAGCCGTAGCTGTTTTAAAAAAGTAACGAGGCCTGAGCGAGCAACCGAGGCTTAATCGGGTGGATAATTTCGGGTTGCGAGCGGGTTCAAGCGCGAGAACGGCTGGCCCTTTTGAAAAGGAATTCCAAATTGCGGAAATATATAGGGTGCATCGTTGAATACGATGATGAGTGAGAAACGTATACGCTTTGTGTACGATATAATATATAGGGTGGGTTAGGAATTTCGGGTGTAATAATAATAGAAAAGAGAGAGTCTGTGTTAAATTTTAAATAGAAAAATTATTAATCTTGAG